ATTAATCATTCGCACTTGGCAAATATAACCTCTTGATATCTTTTCTTTTGTAGAGAGTATATAAAACTGTCTTATATTTTTTAATAGAGTATTTACGAAAGTACAATTGATCTGAATAAGATTGTTTTAATAATATTTTTTCCAAATATCTTTTGGCTAAGTTTTTGTTGTAATTTATTTATAACGATTTTTTATGTAAAGTTTATTTATAACGGTTTTTTTGTCAAATTAATTTATGTTTTTTTTGTGATTTAATGCTAACGCGCGTGCACTTGGCTTCTTTTTTTACTTTTTTTGTGAAAAAGTAATTTTAGTTTTTAATAATATACATATAGAGACATTAAGATATAATAAAAATACAAATATAGTAACACAATATGAACATGTAAATCACATATCTATATTGCACAGTGTGTTCTTAAAACATAAATAATAAAATAAGAAAGTTGCGTTATCACACCATGCAGCATATAAACAAATCTTTATATTAAACATTAAGAAAATTATAATATATTTATTTAATATCATATTAAAAAGATAAATAGATACGATCTTATTACATGTTTTTTCTATTTTATAAACATAAATCTTTGTCTTTACATTATATTATATCGTATTTTTATACGCGTTATGAAAAAACATAAAGAAAACTCCTAATATCTACTATAAAAATACTGATATAAATATCCTTTATAATATATGAAATGTGTCTTTCAAGAATCCTTATGAACATTTTCTTTTTCGAGAAAACTTTTTAATAAACTCATTTTCTCCTCGTGTCGTTCCTGTCTTTTAGATTCTTTTTCTTTATGCATCTCAATTAGAGTTTCAAGTAAGCTACTTTTACTTTTCTTCTTTTTTACTGTTTTGGATGCTTCTGACAAATTAGTATTTTTAACATTAAATACATTACTTGCACTTTGTAATATCTCTGGTTCTATACTGTCATCTTTGGCAGCAATTTGTTTAAGTTCATTTTCAAAACTTACTTTCACTCTTTTTGATCCGGAAGTACTATTATTTTTATCACAAAGACGTTTTCTTCTCATAATTGTTTTGTAACGATTTTCGCATTGTATATATGTTTTGTATATGCCTAAAACTGTTTCTACATTTTTTGAGATCTCTATCCACATTATTTTCTTATTTTTAAATTTTTTCATCGGGCCAACTGATTGTAAATACTCAGAATATTTATTTAATATGAATCTGGTGCTTTCCTCTGTCCACTCGTCAACATTTTGTACAGTATGTGCATCCAACTTGTCATTTATATTTGGAGATTCTTCTGTTCTCTTCTCGTACAAATTAAAGTTGTCAGGAATTTCATAGCCTGCTTCAAGCAATTGTTTCTTGTCCATCATAATTATGTTCAAACCTATGTACAAATTAAATTTATATAATGTATTAATAATTATGTTTAAACCTATGTATATACGAATAAAATCTATATATTAAATATTGTAAATATCATATTCTCTTTATATATATATACCCAGTAAACACCAAGTAACAGTAACATAACCTCAATGTTACAATTTGTCACTCAAGAATATAACTATTATATGACACACGCGTTATATAACAGTTTTATTGTTGAGTAGGAAATTGTAACATTGAGGTTATGTTACTGTTACTTGGTGTTTATTGGGTGTGTATATATACAGGGTGTCCAAAAAGTCTGGAAACACCTGAATAATTTCC